TTATCAGGTCAAATTGTGTTTATTGGGATATGGATATGGAAGTTTTTTTAAGTTAAATATGGAACATATTCTTTTTTAAAGATCAGTTCTTTTTTTTTCTTAGAGGTCGTAAATCAAAATTTTTTTATATTCTTTTTGTCAGCGCAAATCTTGTTTAAGTTGGAGATGGAACTAATTCTTTATTTAAAGATAAGTTCTTTTAGTTTGTTTTTGTTGGGGGTCGTAAGTCAAATTGTCATTAGTTTTTTTAAGTTGGATATGGAACTTATTCTTTTTTAAAGATCAGTTCTTTTTTTTTGTTAGGGGTCGTAAATCAAAACTTTTTTAGATTCTTTTTGATAGGGCAAATCTTGTTTAAGTTGGAGATGGAACTAATTCTTTATTTAAAGATAAGTTCTTTTAGTTGGTTTTTGTTAGGGTCGTAAGTCAAATTGTCATTAGTTTTTTTTAAAGTTAAATATGGAACATATTCTTTTTTAAATATCAGTTCTTTTTTGTTAGGGGTCGTAAATCAAAACTTTTTTAGATTCTTTTTCATAGGGCAAATCTTGTTTAAGTTGGAGATGGAACTAATTCTTTATTTAAAGATAAGTTCTTTTAGTTTGTTTTTGTTAGGGTCGTAAGTCAAATTGTCATTAGTTTTTTTTTTTAAGTTAAATATGGAACATATTCTTTTTTAAAGATCTTTTTTTTTTTCTTAGGGGTCGTAAATCAAATTTTTTTTAATTCTTTTTGTCAGCGCAAATCTTGTTAAGTTGGAGATGGAACTAATTCTTTATTTAAAGATAAGTTCTTTTAGTTTGTTTTTGTTAGGGTCGTAAGTCCAATTGTCATTAGTTTTTTTAAGTTGGATATGGAACTTTTTTTTTAAAGATAAGTTCTTTTTTTTTTGTTAGGGGTCGTAAATCAAAACTTTTTTAGATTCTTTTTGCCAGCGCAAATTTTGTTTAAGTTGGATATGGAACTAATTCTTTATTTAAAGTTAAGTTCTTTTAGTTTGTTTTTGTTAGGGGTCGTAAGATAAATTGTCATTAGTTTTTTTAAGTTGGATATTGAACTTATTCTTTTTTAAAGAACAGTTCTTTTTTTTGTTAGGGGTCGTAAATCAAAACTTTTTTAGATTCTTTTTGTCTGCGCAAATCTTGTTTAAGTTGGAGATGGAACTAATTTTTTATTTAAAGTTAAGTTCTTTTAGTTCGTTTTTGTTAGGGGTTGTAAGTCAAAATTTCATTAATTTTTTTAAGTTGGATATGGAACTTATTCTTTTTTAAAGATAAGTTATTTTTTTTAGGGGTCGTTAAATATGGAACTTATTCTTTTTTAAAGATCAGTTCATTTTTTTAGGGGTCGTAAATCAATTTTTTTTTAGATTCTTTTTGTTAGCGCAAATCTTGTTTAAGTTCGAGATGGAACTAATTCTTTATTTAAAGTTAAGTTCTTTTAGTTCGTTTTTGTTAGGGGTCGTAAGTCAAATTGTCATTAATTTTTTTAAGTTGGATATGAAACTTATTCTTTTTTTAAAGATTAGTTGTTATACTTTGTTTTTGTAGGGATTGTAGATCAAAATTTTGTTTAGATTCTTTTTGTTAGAGCAAATATGGAACTAATTCTTTATTTAAAGATCAGTTCTTTTAGTTCGTTTTTGTTAGGGGTCGTAATATTATTATTAGATTCTTTAAGTTGGATATGGAACTTATTCTTTTTTTATAGATTTGTTCTTTTAGTTCGTTTTTGTTAGGGGTCGTAAGTCAAATTGTTATTAGATTCTTTAAGTTGGATATGAAACTTATTCTTTTTTTAAAGATCAGTTCTTTAACTTCGTTTTTGTAGGTCAAAATTTTGTTTAAATTCTTTTCGTCAGGTCAAATTTCAAGTTGGAGATGAAACTAATTCTTTATTTGTTCGCTTTTGGGTAGGACACATATTTTTTAAATTATTTTTGTCGTTGTAGTCTGTTTTAGATAGTGATTATCCTATGGAACCAGGCGCCCAGGAGTTTCCTATAAAACCCTTCTTTTTATTCCTCCCATTTAGACCCATTTTAGTTCAATTTCACAATCATCAGGTTGTTTAATTAAATTAAAATGGTAGATGGATCTTGAAAGTACTTTTTGGATTTTGTCTCGGAACATCGGTAATCCGTGCCAACCCGTTTTTAACGTGGAGCATGTTGTTGCGCACCGGCGCTAATCTTTTTGTAACTTAATTATCTGTCGTTTTCCTTTTCTAACCTTCCTATTATCCTAATTCCTTCATTTGGACCGGACATGGACATCTTGGACTTCTTGGAACTTCAGGGTGCGAGTGAATCTTATATGCGAGTATGTATACAACCAGTATATTTGTTTTTTTCGTGTTTTTGTTTAATTAAATACTTTATCTGTTTTAGGAGATTTTAGGTATATAATATGATGAGGAGGGTGGAGGGTAACTCCGCCAGGTACTTTTAACCTGCCGGTCCCAAGCCCGGATAAAGGAGGAGGGCCCTCACTCTTTTCTATTTTTTTAGATTGTTTTCGTCGGGTCAAATCTTGTTTAGGTTGTAGATGGCACTTGAGTGGTTTTTGTCAGGTTGGAACTTTTTCTTTTTTAAAGATCAGTTCTTTTATTTCCTTTTAGTATAGACTTCCTATTTAGCGCTAAGGGGCGCCCCTTGTTTAGGTAGGAAATTGAACTTAATACTATAAAGTACATAAGTCAAATCTCTTTTAGGCAGGGTTCCCAGACAGCAATATGACGTCTTAATTAAGTCTGCATAAGCTCTATTTTATGATTTGGACTTCAAATACAACAGAAAGAAGTTTTTAAGAAGTTCTTAAAACTTCGAATTCGCCAAAAAAGAACTCTTGAGGAACTTTTGTTAATATAAAAAACAAAGAAGTTACAATCAAAAATGCAACTTTGATTTTTTTTATTACTATAATTGCAAAATATTATCACAAAGTATTAAAAATTCTTACACGGGAAATGTTAAAGATTCAAAAAGTGACAGTTGTATTTATTGGAATTCTACAGGCGTTAAAATCTCAAATTTTTCTGTGTAAATCAAAATGTATTCCTTGAAAATAGACTAACAATCGATATAGAAGCATTTGGTGGAAAAAATTTGGTTTTGAGAAAAAATGGGAAAGAATAATTTAAACCACAGGGATATAATAGATTTAAAAGACAATAATCACGAAAATAAAAGAAACAACAGTAACAATAAACCTAACTCTCACTACGCAATAAAACCCTTAAGGGTTCGTAAATTTCGGCATTTTTATAAATAATTTTCCACTCGCCGAGGCATTAAAAAATTAAAGCAACTTGGTTTATCCTTTTCGCATGAATATTCAAGCGAAATGTAAGTGACAGTCAGGATAGAATAAACTGTACTAAAAACAACCGTAAACCACAGCTTGGACTTTTTAATTATTTACTGAAAACATCGAGGTCCGACTTCTTTCGACCACTGACATCATATTAGTTATTTATTTTCTAATTCACTGTGCTGTCCGTTACTTTAACCTTTGTTACTTATTTATGGATTTATTGCCCACCACTTACATATTGGACACATTTCCCAGAAAAAAATACCTATCTAAATGTTAGCAAATGTTTAAATGAGTTGAACTTTTCCATATTTTTGGCACTGTTGCTATTGAAGATTAATTTTTAATTGGAATTAAATTTTTTTAAGGTTATGTCTAACGAACAATAAACCACAAAAAAGCTTCATTTATTAAATAAAACCATGAGAGGTAGGTATATTAAATATACGTTAATATAATTTGTTTGAGCAGTGTATTTAAAAACATATTGACAAGTTGTGTCATTTAATTTTTTTAAACAGCCATTCTTATTATTTTAACCTAAACAGATTTTTAATTCTCTATTTTGTTATAAATCATTTTTTTTTCTTCAAATATTTTATGTTTTTACATAATACAAAAATTATACTTAAAGAAAATAAGAATTTTATTTTGTTTAAGTAAAAAAAATATTTCTGGTTTTAATTTTTGATAAAACAACAGATTTGTATTTATCTTATATTAAATATATGTTGGAAACAAACCTTGATCTTTTTGTTAGACGATTATACATTGCTTTCGAATCTACAGTGGTATCACAACCTAAAAACACCACTTGATATACAGGGTGTTTCACATTCGTGGTCCATTGGAAGTTTTTGAAGAACGGAAAAAATATAGATTTGAAATTTAAAAGCGTTTATAATCCATTAAGTCTATTTTTTTAAATATTTTGAACAAAATGCAACTTCCGCTTTGACCGGAAGTGACATCAACTTTGTTATTTCAAATAGAACACCCCATCTATTTTTACATTTTTAAATTCTACATAAAATTCTGAGTAAAATTACTCTACCATGTCCTATACCTAAAGTGAAATAGTTTTCTAGATGTTTGCTATTAGGTTTACGGATATGGGGGTAAAATGTTTGGAATCTTAAAACATTGTTTAAAACATTCCATGTCAATTCTTTAACATTTTTCCACAAATTACCCGAGAAACCCAGGGCAAATTGGGCTAACTTGAAACGTTAATAACTTTTTTATTTTAAATGTAACACCCGGTATGTTAAGAAATTGACATGGAATCTTTTAAACAATGTTTTAAGATTCCAAAAATTCCACCCCTATTTCTGCAAACCTAACAGCAAGAAAGTTATAGGCTTCTTTTGATTGACGCGCATTTGTCATATTTTCAGTAAATAAATTTTTCATAAAAATATACTGTCTAGCTGTTATCGAATCTGTTATATTATGTGCTGAATACCGTGGATAACATTTTATTGGATCGCACTTAAAAAAAATGACGTGATCTAAAAACATGCCGAGATACGGGTATCATTTTTTAAGTCTATTTTCAAAATCTATAGATATTTTTCATGGGAGAAAAAAATCAAATTTTGTCGTAATAAAAAAAAGTTATGTTAAAAAGGTACTTGTAAAACAATATAGGAAAGGATAAATAAAATACCGTGTAAAATTAATAATGTTTTTTATTCATAAATTAATATTTCATCATTCAATTTATAAAAACAATAACAAAAATAATATTTAATTACAAATCACAATGGTAGGTTAAAAACTAAAACAATAAACGTTTTCATTTGATATTCCGTTTAAATCGACTAGTCAATTGCAAACACTGATAACATTTTTGAAAATAAAACAAAATATCTATTGAATACAAATTAAACGTAAACGAGAACCCTGTTATATATTTTTATCGGCAGAAATTTAAGTCAAACGCTCTAAACGATTCTATTACAAAATCTACTGTTTTAATGTCATATGCACTTTTCCTATAGGTTGTAAATCGGCAGTACAAAATTTACGATCCGAATCGATTGCATGTAATTCTACGAATTTAAGCGGTTTAGGTGAGATACATATCAGTGTCAAAAAACTGTTTAAGCAAGTAGAAAATCTAATTATGTTAAGTTTCAGTGTTTGAAGGGTGTTTAATAAATAATATATACAAAAATAAATAAAAATATACAGAATGTACAATGGCGCAGGATAGAAAAACTATTTTGGTCGCCCAAAATTTATGTACAATTTCTACAAAGTTGTGTGCGATATCGTTTATGTATATTGGAGGAAACTATGGAATGTTTAAGCGGGCTATTTTTCTTGTGCATGTAGATTCGTGCACTGATATATTGATAATCGTACACAACGAACTTTGGTAATTTGTCGTAATACTACTACTGGCAGAAACATCTTTATCACAAAAGTCTACGTCAGCGCCAAGTCAGCACTGAGTTGCGACAACCTCCTGGGGTCTCTGCGACCCCTGTTTGACCCTCGAGTGCCGCTGGTGTGGTTGCTGTAGCCCGAATCCGACCCGAACGCAGAGTCTTGTGAATAGGGTTTAGGTACGGGTCTGAAGGTGGCCAGATGCCCTATAACCGGCACTGTCTCGTAGGGGCATTGAACCCTTTGGGTAATGCTGGGGATTTGCCTGCGTTGAGGGGGAGGTTCCACACTCCCCACCCGGGGGTACAGTTGCAGGAGAGCATCCAGTAACATACCCTCGTGGAACTCCTGTCGTCTTCTATCCAAACTCCTGTGGCGTTTGTTGGTTTGCGCGCACGGGACTGGAGGTAAAGGTTCGTGCTGCCTCCTGAATCGGGGGATGTCCCTTCTGGGCATCGTGTCGGGGCGGTAAGGGGGAGGGGGGACAGACATCTCGCCCCCCAGACTTAACTCGTCCTCAGCGAACTCGTCTTCGCTGTGAGGCGCCCTCGCTAACTCGCTGTCAGCGTCGCTTAACTCCTCGTAGACGGGGTTGTAGAGGTCCTGGGAGCAGTAAGGGTCAGGACCTGGAGACGAGCACAAGAACACAGGTGGCTGTTGCGAGATGGGGTAGCCACTCGGATAGTGGATGTTGTTTTTAACGTCTATCATCTGAAAACAATAAAACAAATTAGTTTCCCTCGTTACATTTAAGTAAACAGCATATTCAAGATTAAGGCAAAACACACAACAAAGCTTTGTAGTTCTTGCTACGCCGAACTTTCTAATTACTTTAATTGCAAAGGTGTCTATATCCGATCGATCGATGGAACAGCCGGGAACCGAATGTTTAAATTGTAAAGTGATTTACAAATTGATCCATTCAGTTTAAATTCGAATTTGTCTTTGTCGAAAATCGTTAAACACTCAAACAATACGGAACTTATTTTCGATTACTTATAATAATTTCAGGAAGTTACATCAATCACTTTGAATAATTCATTCGTTTAAAAAATTGCTTTAAAGTAAATGTATTAGAATACGGTATAAATTACATCTATGATATACATTTTTGAAAAATCAGTAGTAGCTTTTTCCAAAAATTAAAAGTAGATGGCCTAGATAAAATATATAGTCTATTGGAATGGATTTTCTTTCCAAAAGAGGATGGCCATCAATAAAATGTTTTTGATAAATCATTTTTAGAGTTTTTGTTCTTATTTTCTTGCTAAATTCAGAAAAATTGTTGTAACTTCAATATTTTATATTTTATTTATGATTTTCTTTGTTTTTAAAGTAAATTTATCAAGATACGGTATAAATTACATCTATAATAAACATTTTTGAAAAATCAGGAGTAGCTTTTTCCAAAAATTAAAAGTAGATGGCCTAGATAAAATATATAGTATATTGGAAAGGATTTTCCTTCCAAAAAAGGATGGCCATCAATAAAATGTTTTTGATAAATCATTTTTAGAGTTTTTGTGCTTATTTTGTTGCTAAATTCGGAAAAATTGTTATAACTTCAATATTTTATATTTTATCAAAGATTGTCTTTGTGTTTAAAGTAAATTTATCAAGATACGGTATAAATTACATCTATGATATACATTTTTGAAAAATCAGGAGTAGCTTTTTCCAAAAATTAAAAGTAGATGGCCTAGATAAAATATATAGTCTATTGGAAAGGATTTTCCTTCCAAAAGAGGATGGCCATCAATAAAATGTTTTTGATAAATCATTTTTAGAGTTTTTGTTCTTATTTTGTTGCTAAATTCAAAAAAATTGTTATAACTTCAATATTTTATATTTTATTAAAGATTGTCTTTGTTTTTAAAGTAAATTTATCAGGATGCGGTATAAATTGCATCTATGATATCCATTTTTGAAAAATCAGGAGTAGCTTTTTTCAAAAATAAAAAGTAGATGGCCTAGATAAAATATATAGTCTATTGGAAAGGATTTTCTATTCAAAAGAGGATGGCCATGAATAAAATGTTTTTGATAAATCATTTTTGGAGTTTTTGTGCTTATTTTGTTGCTAAATTCAGAAAAATTTTTATAACTTCAATATTTTATATTTTATTAAAGATTGTCTTTGTTTTTAAGGTAAATTTATCAAGATACGGTATAAATTGCATTTCTAAAAAATCAGGAGTAGCTTTTTCCAAAAATTAAAAGTAGATGGCCTAGATAAAATATATAGTCTATTGGAAAGGATTTTCCTTCCAAAAGAGGATGGCCATCAATAAAATGTTTTTGATAAATCATTTTTAGAGTTTTTGTGCTTATTTTGTTGCTAAACTCGAAAAAATTGTTTTAACTTCAATATTTTATATTTTATTAAATATTGTCTTTGTTTTTAAAGTAAATTTATCAAGATACGGTATAAATTACATCTATGTAGGGATTTAGTTGCTAGATTATTTTAAGAATAAGAAGTCCGTAAACTTTAAATTAAAAATAGTTGTTTATTAAAAATATAAAGTTAAACAACAAATGAAACTAAAAGTAAATATAATACGTCTTAATACAACGACGGTCGCGTTAAATCTGACTTAAGTACTATTACAAATCTTTGGGGTTACTTCATATTCCCACGCATCTATTTTAGTCTTTTACGTTATCTACACTTTCACACACATATTATCAGTCCTAGACCCTTGCGGTCGTTTGAAAACAACGTATTGAACTTAAACACTTGACGCCTAATTTTAACCTACATAAATAAAAGTCTTTAAATCTAAACATTCTCACAGAGCCTGGGAAAATTCCGATGCTACATTCGGCCATCCTGCAATGACCTCTGTCCTCAGAGGTTATCCTCGGCTTCTTCGTCGCTGGTTAGGACACCCTCATCATAGCTGGCCCATGGCTTCATATTATCCGCCGAACAAGATGTTTCCCTGGGTCCTTCGTGTTCTCCAACTTTTATGACCGTATAGCGGTCATGTCGCATAACGCCATTAATCTTGTACGGTCCTAGGAATTTGCTACGCAGCTTTGACCCAGGCATGAACTGCGTTCGTTTGATTGCCACCATATCGCCCTCCTTGTATTTAGTAGCTGCCTTACGCCTCCGGTTGTAACCCCTTTGATTTTCCTCCTGCGTTTTGGCTATTTTCTGCTTCGCTGCCTCTCTTAGTTCGTCACGATGTTCCTCAAATCTGGTTACCCATTCTTCTTCCACTAACTCGCGGACTCGCGGGTCGTCTTTAATACGCATATTTACTCCAAATAATAGTTGAAATGGAGCTTTCCCCGTACTGCGACTTGGAATGTAATTTAAATATCGTTGGACATCTTCAACGTATTTAAACCAACTTTCAGGGTGGGGGGCGGCAAGTTTTGTAAGAAGAGGGATTATGGTACGGTTCACCCTTTCTACCTGACCATTGCCCCTGGGTACGCCTGTCACTATTAACACGTGGTCAATGTTTTCTTCGAGGCAATAATCTTTAACGGCACGTGCCGTAAATGCTGTCCCTCTGTCAGATATAATCCTCTTTGGGTTACCAAATACAGATGACTGTTTCTTAAGTCGGTCAATGACCTCTGCGCTATCTGTTGACTTTGTTGGGTACAACCACACAAATTTTGTGAATGAATCAACCACTACAAACAGATGCTGATATTTCTTTTTTGTTGCCGTCATAGGCCCAAGATGATCCACATGGTATGTGTTTAAGGGTGCATCACCTTTATTAATAGGGTTTAACAGCCCCTCTGGTTTTCCGTGTTTTCGCTCTGCCAGTATACAGTTAATACAATTTGACACCACTTTTTCTACTTTTTCGCGTAATCCCGTAAACCAAAAGTCTCTCCGAACTATAGCTTCCGTCTTATTTACACCAAAATGTCCGCGTTCATGAGCTTGGCGCACAACTTGTATTTGCATTGTCTTGGGTACCACTAACAACAAATCATCCTTTACCACTTTATATAAAAGTCCATGTTGCACAACATAACCGCGTAGTTTATAACGCTCATTATCTTCTACCAACGTGCTAATTTCTTCGTCTTCACTTTGCGCTTTTTTGAGGTTTACAATTAGTCCATTGTCATTATCACTTATTAGTAAAACACTTGGTAACGGATTACGACTTAGTGCATCCACATGCTTCATGTTGTTGCCCGGTCTATGAATTACTTCATAGTTAAACTCTTCTAACAATAACGCCCATCGCGCTACACGCACACACAAGTCTTTCTTTTTCATAGTCATTGCAAACGCTTGACAATCCGTATATATCTTAAAGGGAATTCCTAGCAGGTAAACCCTAAACTTTTTTAACGCCTTCACAATAGCCAACACTTCTAATTCGTAACTAGAGTATTTTTCTTCAGAGCTAGTCGTTTTACCACTCGCATAATAAATCGGGTGAAATTGTCTGTCGACACTGTCGCGTTGCATTAATATCACTCCGTAACCGCGTCGCGACGCATCCGCATGAAGCTCCGTATCGGCACCCACACGATATAACCGTAAAACTGACCCGTTAGTTAGCGCTGTCTTTAAAGTTTCAAAGGCTTCCACTTCACGCACTTCAAATTTAAATTTAGTGTCCTTCTTTAATAAATCTGTGAGAGGTCGTGCTATTAAAGAATACCGTGGTATAAATTTACGAAAATATCCTGTCAACCCCAGGAAACTTTGTACTGTCTTAACATTTGTCGGTTTCGGAAAGTTCATCACCGCTTTTGTCTTGATTTCTGACGGCCGCACTGTATTGTTACTTACAATATGACCTAGATATTCAATTTCCTTTCGTAAAAATTGACACTTACTCCAATTAATTTTTAACCCGTGTTTTGCCGCGACTTCTAACACTACTTTAAGTCTTTCGATTGCTTCTTTGTTATTATTTGCGGGTATTATCACATCGTCGATATAAGTCACTACAATCTTACGTTGTATTAGATCCTTAAACACCGCATTTATAAACTTTTGAAAATATGCCGGCGAAACACTTAGTCCAAACGGTGTCTTTAAAAATTCGTACTGACCGGTCGGCGTTACAAAAGCCGTGTATTTTTGACTCGGTTCTTCGACTGGCACATGGAAAAAACCATTTTCCAGGTCGATCGTCGTAAATATTATTGCACCTTGTAATGAATCTATTTGATCCTCTATCAGTGGCAGCGGGAACTGCAATCGTTCAATTTTCTTATTAAGTGCCCTGTAGTCCACACATACTCTTGTCGTACCATTTTTCTTTTTAACAAGGACTATAGGACTCGCATATTCCGAGGTTGAAGGTCGAATTATGCCATTGTCCAGCCAATCCTGAATAACACTTTCAACTTCGTCTCTTTCTGCTGGTGACAGTCTTCTCGGTCTGGCAGCCACTGGAATATCGTCTTTTACAATAATTTTCGTTTGAATCCCGACGCTACACGTTTTCTCGGGCTTATAAGTATTAATTAATTGTTTTAGTCTTTCGCGATCACTTGGTTCTTTAATCTGTGACATATCCACATTTTTTACGTCTACTATGTTAATATTATATATTTCCGGCACATCTGGATTATCATTAACTTCTAACTTCGCGAAAGTAACGTTTCCTCCTTTTACTATTAATTCCACCTTGTTTAAAAAGTCTGTTCCTAACAATAGGCCTCGTTTTAAAATTGTACTACTAACTACATGAAACGTAATAGGGTATTCTTCCCCATCGACCATAACTCTTGCGGAAAATTCACCTATCGTTTCATTACCGATAGAGCCAAGTCCCTCGAATTTAATCTTGCGGTTTAGCAGCTCAGGTGATCCAATTTTGACATATTCGTCTGTCCTCATAAAAGTAAGATCGCTGCCTGTATCTACAAGCGCCGTAAACTTTTGACCCCCTATCACGACGTCTTTCATGTATTTTTTATCTCCTGGTCGCGACACAAGATTTGCTTCTTTTGCTTTTGTGGGACAAACTGTTGCTTTGTGTCCATGTTCGTTGCATTTAAAACACTTGACACCCTTGTCCTTCACTGGACAGTCTGCACTTACGTGATTTTTATCACCACAATTAAAGCACCGCCTCGTTTTTGTCGCTGCCGCAGCTGTCGTTGACATTGCCGCCTTTTTTTGGGTTCCTTTGCTGTCGTCTCTCCGTTCTGCAACTTTCGCTTTGTTTTTCATTTCTCTTTTCATACCTTCATATTGCAAAAATCTCTCTTTCAGTTGCTTTATCGTCTTAGCTCCGTATAAAATAGACTTGTTAACCGCATCGTCTGCGATTCCTTCTATTATGTACTGAATTACGGACGACTTTTCGACCTTTGCCGGTGCCGCAATTTCCAGCATTTTGTAGACGTATTCCTGGTATGTTTCGGTCGTCTTTTTTTTTCTTTCTTTCAACTTTGCGTGAACTCGATGACTATCTACTCGGTCGTCAAATTCATCTCTTAGCGCTCTTTTCAGTCGATTCCACGACTTCGCACACCTTTCGTAAATAACGAATAGTCTGGCTGATCCTGTTAATAATCTTTTTGCGTATGCCACCTTTTGTACTTCGGTCCATATGCACATTTCGGCCATATCCTCGAAATCTTCGATCCACCGTCGCACATCAGCCTGGTCGTCTCCACTGAATTTCTCGAGGGATTCTTCAACGTCCCTAAAGGTTAATTGCACGCACGGCCTTGCGCGTGACCTGTTGCGGACATTCGGCGTTAACCTTTCTTCATCTTCTTCGTCGTAATGGGCGTTGCGCTGACTGCTCTCAGCCCGCTCCGCCAATTCGTCGTCGTGTTGCCCGTCGTCTTCGGCGTCGTCTTCTTCTTCGTCGTCTTCGTCGTCGTTGTGACCGTCATCTTCTGGTTCGTTTTCTCGAACCCCGTGATTTCTTAATAGTGTTAGCGCATCCATAAGGCGATCCACCAGCTCTCGCTTTCTTCCCGACACTCGTAGTTGACGTCGTCTTAGCTCTTCTTTGAGCTCAGGAACTGTCATGCGAAGCACTTGTTCGTCTTCGATGTCTACTAACCCTCCATTTTTGTCGTATTCCATGTTTCACTTTTGTTTATTACACTTTTCAACTTCTCACTCGCGAATAACCGTTGCTAAATCCACTTAAGTGTAGATTGGCTAAATCAATCCCGTTTGAGCCCCCAAAATTTGTAGGGATTTAGTTGCTAGATTATTTTAAGAATAAGAAGTCCGTAAACTTTAAATTAAAAATAGTTGTTTATTAAAAATATAAAGTTAAACAACAAATGAAACTAAAAGTAAATATAATACGTCTTAATACAACGACGGTCGCGTTAAATCTGACTTAAGTACTATTACAAATCTTTGGGGTTACTTCATATTCCCACGCATCTATTTTAGTCTTTTACGTTATCTACACTTTCACACACATATTATCAGTCCTAGACCCTTGCGGTCGTTTGAAAACAACGTATTGAACTTAAACACTTGACGCCTAATTTTAACCTACATAAATAAAAGTCTTTAAATCTAAACATTCTCACAGAGCCTGGGAAAATTCCGATGCTACATCTATAATATCCATTTTTGAAAAATCAGGAGTAGCTTTTTTCAAAAATTAAAATTAGATGGCCTAGATAAAATATATAGTATATTAGAAAGGATTTTCTATTCAAAAGAGGATGGCCATCAATATCTTTGCCGAAAATCGTTAAACACTCAAACAATACAGAACTTATTTTCGATTACATATAATAATTTCAGGAAGTTCACTTTGAATAATTCATTCATTCAAAAAAATTAGCACAAAGACTTCAAACAACGCTGTCTGTATATTTCCCTTAATGAGCACAATTAATGTCGCCCCCATGTGTCGTTTATTGAAACAATGTAAATTTCTTTGCTTAGTCACTGCTGCGTGAATCGAGTAAACTTGTGATACAAAGATGAGAGCACACCACACCAAATATTAGGTTTATAGCGACATACACAGGGATTAAGACGAAAGACGAAACATAATATATTATATTGAAGTTTTGATACCATGTGTTGTGTTTATTAACGTATCATCTGGACTGGAATAAAGATCACACATTTCCATGTCTTCTTCGGTATAGTCTAACGGTTGGGAATAATTATTTTCCTAAAAAATTTAATGTTTTATAAAGAGAAGTCATTGCTAAACGGAAACATTTCTAGGAAATACTTTTCGCTGGCAGATAATTATTATTTGAGACGGAGGACTAAATTAAACGTGTTTAGAGCGCAACGTCCGGGGTTTTGTTCTTCGAAACACCTTTTACAAAGAGTGGTGTGAAAATCCCGGGCGACGTTTTTAATTATCCTTTTATCCACCTTTACTTGGGAAACAATGGTGGTGATATGTATGATTTTAATTGAAGTCTAGAGGCTTTATTATTTTCGCTTAAGACACGCACCTCTATGTGGCCTCCAGGTCTTCTTACACCGTCGTAGGGGTGTATGGAGTTCGTCCTGATTTCCGGAAGGTCTTCGTACACCGCAGCAGTAGCACCATCACAGTTGTTTTGGGGGGAATTTTTACAAGGGAGAAGGTTTTGTACTTTCCTTCTGAAACAAAGGAAAATTGTTAGCCAACATAATTCACAAAATAACGAAATAATTTAAATATTTTACTTTCTATAATATACTATAAATTTTTAATATTTGGATTACATGAATTGTGAAATAGTCAACAAAATTGATTGATTTTATACGTGGAATACCCAGCAACATTTAAATTATTTGAATTTGAAACGACCGCAATTTAAACTAATATTTATAGCTAGATGATTGGCTCAGAAGCATGCCTGAACTAATTTAGACTCACGATTGGCGTTAGCCTTGTTGTCTCGTTCTATTACAATGCGATAACATAGTTGTCTCCTTCTCTCGTATTAGCATACGCGAGGCAGGCAACACTGTTGCGGAATTTTAGATAAATTATACTTCACACGTTTTTCAAAATTCAATAATAAATGGTATTATTTTTCTTATAATAAATCGATTTAATCGAAATTATATTTCTATTCTAAAATAAACATATTTTAACACTATCGCCATCTTGTAGCCATCACAGTAACCAATAAAATAAATACAGATTCCTTCTTTAGGTTTGTTTTGGTTATAAAATTCTGAACTGTTTAAAGAACAAATTTGTGGTTATTTACGCAATATTTTTATTCTTTTTCTATGAGTTTGTCTATTTTATTATTCTTTTATAAGTGGTTTATTCTGTGGGTTTAGTTAATTAAACTTGGTGATTTATGTGAATTTAGTTAATATGGATATTACGGTGAGAAATTGTAAAGTTTAAGTTTAAGTTGGGTTTAAAAAAATTTCTTTGCCTGGATACCACACTTATTGATATTTGCAACAAACTATTTCAGAAGTCAGACCAAGGAATTAGTAGTGACCTTCAGAATCCAGAAAAGGGATGAGGAATCCGAGAAAGAAATATATGAATTATATAATTTTTACAAAAACGAAATAAAAAAATTACCTAAAACAGCAATTTATCTTTAACAAATATTTAAAAATTTATGTTATTTGATGTAAAGTTGTTATTTTTATATAAAAATTGTATGTCCAATAACTATGGTCCAAGTGTCCAATTACTATATACTTTTATGCATGTTTTTATAAAACTATTATTAAAAATTCAAATATTCTTATTTTTAAGTAAACGTAAATAAAGTTTAAACAAACAAACTATCCTTTTTACATATTTATAAGAAAAAAACTTAAGCGTCCAATAACTATGTGGTTTACTTATTTTTGAAAATGTTTAATTCAACATTTGGACAAAAAATAAATTATGTGTCCTGTATTCGAAAGTTTTAAATCCGAATGGAGTTGAAGTTAAAATCGCAATTTTTCTTTACTTTAAATCCTGTCACCGGGCGACCTAATTATCATTTCAAATGTCTTCATAATTTTTATTTGGTTCGCTTGGATTATCATTCTATTAAAAGTTCGCTGCCACGTAATTGCATCAGAGGCAGAGAAAAATATATGACAGTTGGGATTAACTATTGTCATTGGATTTATTTTGTCTCTGGCAGAATTAAGAAAAGATTTCTTTGAGGTCAATGAATGTTGTTGGGACAATAAGGGCATTAATTTTTATATTCCCGATAAAATGCGGTTTTCGTGTATAACAAAACGTAAAAACTGGCCGCGTAATACTTAAAGGTAGTAATTAGACTGTCAGACGGTGCAAGAATGTTAAATGGTAAATTTCTTTAATGCTCTGGTGGTCTTTTTTCGGTTTCATAGGTGGAAACAATATCGCGACAGTGAAATTCTTATCGGACCACTTAGATGCCGGCTACCTCTACTTAAGACTTCTGACAAAAACCATAAACGTTAAGTCTGAGTTTTATCTTTGGTAAAGCCGCCACAGACCACCTTATTGTCACCGTCTTATCGGCCAAAACCAGAACTCTAAATAGGATGTAATATATTTCTTCTAACACTCATAAAAATGACTCTTAGAAATAAGATTTTATCTCGACGCGGTCTATAATTTAAACTTTATTGTTGTCAAGTAATTAGTTCGATTTTTTCTCGCTAGGGGTATTATTTTGACAAATTAATCATTTTCTAAGAAATTAACGTACTAAACTGGTTTAATGTATTTATAATAAGCACTAATTCGTTTTTTTTACTGTTAATGTTTAATATTTTTCAATAAATTATTGTAAAATTAAATAAGAATAATAAAACAAAAAGTGAGGTTAGGCAACCAAGAAAACGCACGATTCTTTTTCTACGATTTAAATTATCTTTAAGTGTTAATTTGCTTTAAGTTTTCAGTGAAATTAAATGTTAAACACAGCATAAACATTCCAAACTACCTATTTTTTAAATAAAAATCCAAACAAATTGAAATTAGATAACTACCTATTTATTAAACAATTAATTGAATCCAATGTAATAGCAAAAATCCATTTCTACTTAAATCATGTTGCTAGGTATTGTCATACTATTACTGCTTCTAAAAGCAATAATAATTATTGTACATTTAATGTAATCTTTAGCTAATAAATAAATGAGATTCTAAAAAAGTGAGGTTAGGCCGCTTTGATGTTGAATTAAATTGACCTATATAAAGTGCTTTGAAGATAAAATGTTGTATGCCATTCGGCCAAGAAGTGCCTTTTTGTGCTTCGCTCAATTGTAGGCCTCCGCTACGCTTGAGTTTAGCACAAAAAGCCTTACTTCTTAACCAAATGACATAAATAACTATTATTTCAATTATTTTAGAAAAATGTTGAAACCATTGTGGGTTTTCTTACAGCTAAACTTTACGAATAAAGTAGTTTATATTATCTGCGAGTGCTCATAAAGGTTTAAAACAGCGTCTTTGTGCGAATGCCTTCTTCCTTCCGGGAAGTCTGACAGAACTGGCGTAAATGGCATTAAACTTGCAAAAGAGAAATGCGACAATAAATACGGAGCTTTTAAGCTACTTTTGAACCCTTAATTAGAAATTACCATAGAAACTGTCCCAGACACGTGTAAAGGGAACAATACAGCACTTTACTCAGACAATAATTAGCACAGAGTACTTTAAGACTTCTCAGGAATTATTTCCTTATATATAAAGACGATTTCCAGTATAGCAAAATTAGTTAAAAAATCATTAGTATTATGGTGAATCTCACGAAATGTCCAGCTTTTTAACAGCAATTAATTATTTTTTACAGTAAAACCTATCCTCCGTGACTGTTACTCTTTCTAGGTTAACCTATATGTTTTCAAATATCTGAGGTAGTTAAAGCATACTAAAAATATCAGTTCACTAAGTAAATTAAACACATCAAAAGCAATCGGATCAAATATAAAATATTATTAAAAATTGATTCTATCCTCCGTGAATCGGTTTTGCTTTAAATTTTATGCAACGGATGGCGTTTTAATCATTTTAAATAAGCAAAAACCTCTGTTTACGGCATTATAGATGCATGTGATTCCTGAAGGTCAGTTAGAATTTATATGCAGATGAGAGGGTTGCTGTTTTATAATTCAAAAGTTTAAGTTCATTAATTTGCTATTTAAAAACCTATCCACCGTGAAGTGTAATATCCAAGTAAGTAGATTTTATTTATAAATATTTTTGTATTTTTAAAAAATATTAAGGTGTCAAAAGATACAATAACTTATTTCAAATATACAAAGGGATGTTTTAAAGAATTCCTAACCTCCGTGAAGCTGTAATATTCAAAATTTATGATTTCTTAAAATTCTTGCATTAGTGCAGAACCACTTATGTTATGTTATTACTAGACCTGGTGGCTTCCCAAAAACCCCATTCTAGACTAACAGTGAAACAACTAAAAATAAAAAATAATCATTTTCACTTGGGGTACATCTCAATTAGATAAACAAACAAGTCGAAGGTATTTTAAAAGGCATTATGAACAAATTTTGATGGAGAAGCAGTACACCTTTTAGAGATAAAAGTTAATGGTCCAATTTGTAGGAAATTAACAGGTAAGCAGAAGAGGCATTGATTGGCCGAATGAATTAATTAGGGGGCGACTCATTAGGGGAAAGTATCCATTACGCCCGGAAAGTCATTATTATCCAATGCCAAAGGCTAGACCCCATTAAGGTAACGTATTACCGGCCACCCTTTTATTTAAGATATCACCCAATAATGGTTTCAGAAAAAATATATTAGGTTTAACTATTTGATAAAAAAGCAATTAAAATTCTTCCAAGAAATAATGGAAAGGATGTAAGTGTCGCGTTTCGCAATAACTCAACCAAGAAAACTGATTACTTAGCAGAAATGCATAAAATTGTAAAACTACACCTAGGAAGTGTCTACTACCAATGCGGTGTCAGATATTAGTCGGATGTATACATTTTACTTTCCGAGAAAATCGGTTAAATGCAATGACCTCAACAACGGCATAAAGTTAAGTAAAACGTTCAATAAAATCAACAGAAACTGAAAACTAGGTTACTAAACGTTTAGTAAAACTTTTCCGAACTCTGGGGACGTTAATGGACTTTCTTTCGATCTTCAAAAACGTGGTAGTTATGTATTTCCTCGAAAGCGGAAATGGTGGTGGGTCGCTTTGATCTCTTTACCGGAAGTTGAGTTTGTTGTGGCTCGTAGCACAGAAAAACAACACGACGGTCATGCTGAACGGTTTTTTAACCGTTTCTTATTGGACGGTGCATAGGAATTTGATAATTGCTGGGCGGACCTACGCTACCCACAGAACCATGGTTTGTTGTACCATTCTTTATATTTTCCAAGCAGCATTTTAAGTTGAAATAACTACAAATTTACTATTTTAAACTATTTACTTTAAAGTATTTATAACGGTATACGAGGTGTGTTCAGAAAATATCGGGAATTTTCGTTTTTTGAAACAAATATTTATTTATTCGTCTACATTAATGTCCCCATTGGATATTATGCACATGTGCCAGCTCTTCTTCCAATACTAGAAACACTTCTAAAACTCGATCTTTGGGATAGCCTTTAGTTCTTTCAGCGATGCGCTTTTAATGTCATCTATGCTTGCAAAACGACGGCCCTTTAAGGTTCTCTTTATTTTTGAGAATAGGAAAAAGTCAGACAGAGGCATGTCTGGCGAATATGGAGGCTGGGGCATCATTACAGTATTGTTTTTGGCCAAGAATTTTGTTCAAAATTTTAGAACAAATTTTGCTGCCACGCGTTTCATACCCAAAACATTCGAAAAAATTTCATGGGATGAGGCAATCGATATACCAACATCATCAGCGACTTCTCTGATGGTTTATAACCATTTCTTCCACTTTTTCCATGTTTCTATCGGTTGTTAATGTGTTTGTGCGTTCGGGGCGTTCGTCATCTTCAACGTCTTCACGGCCATCTTGGAAACTCTTATACCACTTGTAAACTCTTGTTTTACTTATAGCAGACTCACTATAGGCCTTTGTTAACATTTCACAGAATTTATTTCATTTTTTAAGCAAAATTGGATACAAATACCTTAATCCATTTCTTTTAACGAACGAAAAATCGCCGAGCTCATAAAACACGTCTAACCTTAGCGGTTGCCACAGACAAAGTAAACAATTAAAACAGCTTAAGTTTTTATCAAACTTCGGGGGCATGTATACCAACATAATAAAGAAAATTTTATGACAACCGGACCCTCCGAACCCGCGAAATTTAACAATTCCCGTTATTTTCTGAACACACCTCGTATATGAAATGTATTTTCATTAAGTTTTACAAACTAAACGTTTTAAACGTTTTAAACGGCATTAAATTTTGAGTAAGTAATTAAGGTTATGTTTTCAAGTTTTTAATAAATAATTTAATTATTATACAATTTCTTATGACATGGCTATTTTATTTATTTTGCAAAAATTCTATAAAAAAATTAATTTTATACCTTAAATTTAATTTGATCGAATTTTACTTTAGACAGTTGGTATCACAATCATTGGTTTGACAGTTAATGTCAAAATCGATTCGCCATGCCGTCCTTAATTTACTTATTTACAATAAGCGGCTGTTATTGTTAAAGAAGAAAAAAAGGATTTTCTTTGGTGCTAAACAAAATTTATTGCCAGAAAAGTCTTGTAAGTACTAGAAAAATCATAAAAATATTATAACCAATATGCAAAATATTATGCTGTTAAAGTATAGCCAACCTATAAAATCAAAATTTTGGGTGGGATAAAGTATCTCATTACAGCAACGAAAGCCGTGTTATGATGAAGTCATTATGAACGCGAAATAGATAAAGGTATTTTTTTAGAGATTTTACATAAACACAAGAGATTTCCTCCTCCTGATGCATTAATTTAAGGAGGTTATTTTGAGTCGTTTGAACCCCATATTGCCTTATTTATTAGTTTTGGATTTTTTGTGATTTTGGTAAAAAATCGTGTCCAGGTTTACATTTTTTTAAATTTCTCGATAAGAATTAAAGTTAATTAAACGGTTCTTTTTTTAGTAGTTAGCCCATACATTGGTACATGCCACATAGTAATAGTTTTTCCGAAAAAAGCCATATGGAACTTCAGAACAACAGTATAAAATAAAATTTTATTCGCGAATTTGGAAGACTTGTTAAGTTCATCAGGATTTTTTTTTAATTTCACTATACACTTTGGGTGCAAATTGTTTAAAAAACTTTCGAATGATGTATAATATGTCCATAAAAACTATTTACACCCAATTTTTAAATACTCTCCAAAAAATCTCTTTTCAAAATGCTTTTGCCTATTATTGGGCACAATTTGATCATTTATTGTTGGCCATCGCGATAGCACAAAAATCATAGGAATATTGTCCTATATTGTACTTTAATGGCAAAACTTTTCCAAAGGTGAAATTTATATCTTAATTAGACGTTGAAGTTTATTGGAGTCAAAGCAAAGAATTAACCAAAGTGGATAATATTTTAGTCGCAGAAACAAAGCGACTTCGGGTGGAAAGAATTTTTCAATTTTTCGCATCGCAAGGCGCTGAATTGCGACCCATTCTCGCCGCCGTTTACCAATTGACGTGTTTTGCGGAAACTTTTGGAGAGCAAGTTTGCGACCGAGGAGAACGTTGCGAACGACGCGCAGAAATACCCGTGGGAAGACCGCAACCGGGCTGCAAATAAATCTGGCCCCGGATTTTTAATCCACCGGAATGTTTCATGCAGACGAGAACAATGAAAATTGGCCCGGGTTCCATCAAATCCACCGCCGTTCGTATCTTTCGCCAATTTGAATATTTATTTTTTTAACGCCGCGAAAGGTATTTGCATTTTGTCGCCTTCGAGTTAATTACTTTTTGGTAAAGGTGAATAATTCGAATCGAAACTTAAATTTAAAATTGTAATGGCTATCAAAAAATGTACCACGTCTTATTGGGAGAAAAACCGATTTGTCAAAGTAATGAGATATAATAAACTTTTTTTACTGTTAATAAAATTCTCATTTGCTATAATGAAGCAGCAATGTAGAGCTTTTATAAAAAAAAATGTTCATCCAACAAAGTAATAGTTGTTATCATATTGTCATGGCAATAAGAAATACTTTATGTTTATATTAAATCTTTGTCTAACTTAAAATGTATTTGTTAAATCTATAGTTGTGTGTACTTAAAGTAATGCGCAGTTGTTATAGTAAAACTTACTATCGTTGTAATTCAAATTAATTTAATTTCAGTTAGAAAATCTTTGTTAATAGCTTACGTTAAGAACAATAACAAAAATATTTTAATGCTATAAAAACACTTTTTTAATATTTACTATTGTTTTGCAATGGTAACAAAATTTTTGTTATTTCCCTTAAAAAGAGGGGGAAAGGGCCAGTACTCTCCTTGGTGAACATAACTTTATAATCCACAGTCTGTGTTATAATATTATTGATTTTACTTGTGCGAGTGAAGTGTGGTAAAATCTGACAAGATAAAAATATCAAAAAGATCACTAAGAAAATTAAAATTTCGACGTTTTCTAAAAGAAATATTTGAGGTCTATTCTATAAACGAAGCAGACTTGTTGTTTAAAAAGTGAGTTCATATTTTTTATTTTGTACATCATATAATATGAGTTAATTTTTTTATTATAATAAATAATTTGTTTTAATGCAATTATTTAAAAAAAAATACCCAACACCCAACAGTACATTGAAAATGTGACCATTGTTACAAAGAAAGTAGTTGATTGATTGAATTATCATTGTTAAATTTACAAAAATTTTATTATATAAAAAGTTTTAAACGTAAAGGGATTTGTAAAATTTAAAATTTCTATGAATAATACCATTGGAGTTTCATTAATACTACACAGTGGCGGCCCGTCAGGGGAGTGCCTCATCATATCATTTTCAAAATTCAATAATAAATGGTATTATTTTTCTTATAATAAATCGATTTAATCGAAATAATATTTCTATTCTAAAATAAACATATTTTAACACTATTGCCATCTTGTAGCCATCACAGTAACCAATAAAATAAATACAGATTCCTTCTTTAGGTTTGTTTTGGTTATAAAATTCTGAACTGTTAAATCTGTGGTTATTTACGCAATATTTTGTTTATTCTTTTTTTATGAGTTTGCCTATTTTATGATTCTTTTGTAAGTGGTTTATTCTGTGGGTTTAGTTTATTAAACTTGGTGATTTATGTGAATTTAGTCATTATGGATTATGGATTGTAAACGGTATAGTACTGTTTTTTTGGACAAATAATAAAAACTATATTTTCTGCATCTGGAAGAGTGTTATTTTTATAAACGTAACGTAAATTTATTTTATAATTAATGCAAAGCAGCGTTTATTTGTTCAATATAATAGTACATTCTGTAACAAGTTTGGAATACAGCATATTCCGCTTGAGGAAAAATTTGACACACGAGCCGAAGGTGCTATTCCAAACGTGTTTCAGACATTATTTTCTCTACGACTACGTAAGAATAGTAGCGCTTATATAATTTTAAACAGAGAAAAGAAACCAAGCAGTTTTTGACATTTATTTTTTTGTATTGTCAAACCATTTTGTGCCATCACAATTTTATAATGTAAATTATAATAAATTTAAACAAATGGTAGGTATGCCTAAATCTTTATTATAATTAAAAATAGTTATTTACACTAACTAATAAAAAAAATAACATTGTAACAAATACAAAACTAATTTTACAAGTAATCTATGTCAACATCTATTCTTTTTCTACACTTTAAAGGTCTTTTTTAAACTTTTTGAATCTGTCAAAACTTCAAAGCCGGTATAGTAGGTAACTGGTTTATCATTTTAATATCAAATTTATTATAATTTTGATTTGTATATTTGAAAAACAATAAATATAACTAATTTTTTGTGCCTAAACCTTAATTATACAACTGCTATTATTTTTTAATTGATAAATAATACAGTAATATTTAAATTTTTTTAAATTTTTTACGTTTAGTAAACAGCCAGGAGATGTCGTTACTTGTGACCATTCTTAAACAAGAGTAGGAATATTCTCGCACAGTATTGCAGAAAAACATCCTTTCTATGATCAAAAATTACACTAGAATGTTACTATTCTTAAGTAGTCGTAGAGAAAATTTGTTTTAATATAGTCAAATACTGTTTCTCCTAACTACTGGGTGATTGCATATCTATATATGTATGTATTTTGGTATTGTACTTACTTCCAAAAGAACACTCCAAATATACAGACAAGGATTAGGATTAAAGTACTAAAAAGTATCACAGCTGGAGTTTGAAATGATTGACTACTTCTATAGCCGGCATCTATGAACTGAAACAAAAAAACACAGTGTTAGATTTATGTCTACAACTTTATTATTATTATAAAAACATAGCATAACTTTTATTTGATTTTATAAAGTTTGAAACTTATCTAATGCATCCTAAATCAAAGTTTTTCCCGGGGAAACCAATAACTATATAAAAATATCTCACGGAGACCATTTTATGGACAAAAGGCTGTAATACGACGAAAGGCATTATTGGGCTTAAATTCCCGAGGATTTGATGATATTGCCTTCTGTCAAAGCTGGGTCGTAAGTTTAAGTTCATCGATTTACTACCAGGTCACAGGAAAAATGTATTTTTTCATATTTATCAATACTTTTAAGTAATTGGATTTTCAGATGGATTACATAGGTACATCGTATAACAAATAAACTTTGGCCTTAAATCAAATACAACTTTTGATTAATTAGGCAGTTGACAAAAAGATTTTACGACCCGTAATATAATTTACGAAATTAATTGTCTTTGTCTCTTTTATTTTTCACTGCTTTGCTTTATAGACAAGCCGTTTAGACTTAATTTACTGGAACGTAAAATATTTTATTTGTTTTGTGGAAAATTTATCACCAATAAACAGGTACTCCAAAATAGACATGATGCATAAAACTGAAATGTTTTGTATTTAGAAAAGAGTCCAATATTACTAAATTACATTCTCCCAAATCATCAAATTTTCTCGCTACCAACTAATAGACAAATCAAGCCGGCGTTAGCCAACTATAGTTACTGATAGTTAAGGCTGATGCAGGTAGATGGCGCGCACAACTATACCAGTAATTTAATAGACACTGAACAGCGCAATTAATTTTTTTATCATTTTAATATTACTCCACATTTTTGCGGGATTCAATCATCTTTATTCAGCGATGCATTTAAAATCCAATTGTTTCTAATTTACTTACGGGTGGAAAACGGGATAGCTTTTACAATTTTTTTGTTAAGCAATTTTCTTAGGAGGCTATGAATACGTCGGTACAAAGACAGACTTACTTAAATGATCTAAATTGTATTAGAACTGTCTAAAATGACTAAAACCTGTATAAATGTCCTTTGGAGTATTTTAAATCACCTAAACTGTGTAAGAACTGTCTAAAATTAAAATAAACTGTCTAAAAATGTCCTTTATCTAAAATGACCTTAAATCTAATCTAAATAACCCATTGTATAGGAACTGCCTAAAAGGATCAAACTGTATAAGAACTGTCTTAAATAATCTAAGCTGTATAAGAACTGTCTAAAATGACCAAAAAGAGTAAAAATGCCACTATTTAAAATGACCCCAACTGTATAATTTAATGTAAATTGTATTAGAACTGTATAAAATTACCCAAATTTTTACTGTCTAGAATGAACATAAACTCTCTAAAATTGTCCTTTAAACTATCTAAAATGACCCAAACTGTAAAAAATATCCACTATTGGAACTGTCTAAAATCAACCAAACTGTATTGGAACTGTTTAAAATTACCAAAAACAAAAAATGTAAAAATGTCCTTTAAACTGTTTAAAATGATACAAGCTTTGAATATTTTAAATGACTCATTGTCTAAAAAGATCCAAACTGTATAAGAACTGCCTTAAATGATCCAAATTATATGAGAACTGTCTAAAATGACCTAAACTGTAATCTAAATGACCCATACTGTGTAAGAACTGTCTAAAATCCCTACCTGAAAACTGTTTCGTTTTCGTTGGGCCACCCTGTATAGTCAAATTAGACTTTTTAAATTACCTAAATTGTATTAGAACTGTCTAAAATGACCAAAACCTGTAAAAATGCCCTTTGAATTATTTAAAATGACCCTAACTGTATAAGAACAGTTTTAAATGACCAAAATTATATAAGAACTGTATAAAATCACCCAAACTATATTGGTACTGTTTAGAATTACCAAAACTATCTAAAATGACCCAAACAATAAAATAACCACTATTTTAAATGTCTAAAATCAACCAAACTGTATTAAAACTGTTTAAAATTATAAAAACTGTATAAAATTGTCATTTAAACTATCTAAAATGATCTCAACTGTATTATAACTTACTAAAATGACAACAAATGTAAAATGTCCTTTAAACTGTCTAAAATGACCCAAATTGTATTAGAACTGTCTAAAATGATCAAAAACTAAAAATGTCCTATAAACTATCTAAAATGATCAAAACTGCCAGAACTGTGTAAATTATATTGAATAATTCAAAATCTTTAAATTGTCTAAAATTACCTTAATTGCATAGGAATTGCCTAAAATGATCCACTATTTTAACAGTCGTAAATGACAAACTGTATAAACTGTAATCTAAATGACCTAAATTTTATTACAACTATTTAAAATAACCCAAACTATAAAGACTGTCTAAAGTGACTTAAATTGTATTAGACACTACACCAAATTAATTTTATATCTGGAAAACAATTTTACTGACCGTAAAAGAGAATCATTTTATGTTTGGTTTTTATTGTTTTTTTTAGCAAATTCCGACTCAAAGGCTTCCACATAATGTTCTCTGGTTTATTGGGATCAAATAAAGGCCAAAAAATGTTTATTTTAAACGCATTAAATCTTTTTTGATGTTATATCACTTGAAAAAGATTTTTAAACAAGAGCTAATTTAAAAATATGCAGAAGAAAAACCATGCCATGTATCTTATTAATCTAAATAATTAACTTTTTTGTCCGCTGTTTACTGGGAAGCCGTAGTAATATGATACTTTTTCAGCGTTCCGTAGGATCAATTAGAGACTGGCGTATTTACAAGGAAGGCAATTAAATTACATGTTCTATTCTAAACTGTCTAATTAGAATTGTCTCGCGTCTAATGTAAACAACTCACAAGGGGCTTTTTCTTAAAAAAGATCGTTTTGAGGTTAACGATCCCCGACGCTGTTTAAAAAACTACACGTAATGCGGAGGATTACGAGAGTCGAAAGTTGGTTGAAACAAAGTTGGGTAAAACAAAGAGCGCACTGACTGAAAGATGAGATTTCAAGGCCTGGTCAATCATGCACGATTCCATGAATCTCTGCTGCCTGTTTGGACAATCGCTGTATATATATACATAAAGCTGATTTTGGACCAACGGGCTTCGAATTAATTTGATTAGTTTTAGTTCGAAAGTATGAAGTTTGGATTACAGCCGAAAATACTTTAAGTACGAGGTGTGTTCAGAAAATATCGGGAATTTTCGTTTTTTGAAAGAAATATTTGTTTATTCGTCTACATTAATGTTGTCGCCTTCAAAATGGTCCCCATTGGATATTATGCACATGTGCCAGCTCTTCTTCCAATACTCGAAACACTTCTAAAACTCGATCTTTGGGATAGCCTTTAGTTCTTTCAGCGATTCGCTTCTAATGTCATCTATGCTTGCAAAACGACGGCCCTTTAAGGTTCTCTTTATTTTTGGGAATAGGAAAAATTCAGACAGAGGCATGTCTGGCGAATATGGAGGCTGGGTCATCATTACAGTATTGTTTTTTGGACAAAAATTTTGTTCAAAATTTAACAATTTTAGAACAAATTTTGCTGCCACGCGTTTCATACCCAAAACATTCGAAAAAATTTCATGGGATGAGCCAATCGATATACCAACATCATCAGAGACTTCTCTGATGGTTTATAACCATTTCTTCCACTTTTTCCATGTTTTTATCGGTTGTTAATGTGCTTGTGCGTTCGGGGCGTTCGTCATCTTCAACGTCTTCACGGCCATCTTGGAAACTCTTATACCACTTGTAAACTCTTGTTTTACTTATAACAGACTCACTATAGGCCTTTGTTAACATTTCACAGAATTTATTTAATTTTTTAAGCAAAATTGGATACAAATTCTTTGATCCATTTCTTTTAACGAACGAAAAATCGCCGAGCTCATAAAACACGTCTAACCTTAGCGGCTGCCACAGACAAAGTAAACAATAAAAACAGCTAAAGTTTTTATCATACTTCGGGGGCATGTATACCAACATAATATAGTATATATGAGATGCTTCCGTTGAATGATGAGGCCAGCATCTGCTTCATTTTTTAGTTGTTTTAATGATGTTATATGACCGCCTGTTGCTTAAAATTGACTTAATTAGTTAAAAGTTGGGCGCCAAATAGCATAAATTTGTCGAAGGGACTTTTTGGCCGTAAAAATCCAAGTGCTGCTAATGGTGGAGCTTTTCGGGTCCCCTTAGTATTCAAATATTTATTTCCAGTGTCACTTTCTTTCGTAATTTTATTTTTATACGGTAATAAAACGCTTGAATCGACACTTTTAAAGAACGGAAGGATTTGGAATAATGCACGTTTTTATTTTGGCAGTTTTATTTTAATGGTCGTTATGTCAATCAATGGAGTGGCAGTCGGTGGAATTAAATTAATTAGACTGAGAAGCGCACGTGAAAGATATAAAATAAAATAAAACAAAAAACAACGTTTTTTCTTTGCCCTTTTTTCTCAAATAAATTACTTTGGGCCCCATTTACTTTCCAACTTAATATTGTACGCTCGATTATGCTTCGTAATATTCGAATTATTTTTATTTGCCGCTTCGCGCAAAATTTGCCATAATTTAGTTGTTCACGATAAATTTTTACATCCGACATGGTCATCTGTTCAAGATCGCATATGTCACGTTGATAAAAAAATGGCTGTGGTTCATTTAAAATTGGTCATAGTGCGAATATAATTTAAAGCTATTTGTAGATGTACAGTCAGAGAAAATCATAATGTATTTTCTTCAAAACGTGAAATAAATAAAATTATGTATTGCCAGTTGCAACTCTCTAAAATCTGTAAAAATGTCCTTTGAACTGTCTAAAATTATCCAAACCTTATTAAAACTGTCTAAAATGATCCAAACTGTTTAAGAACTATAAAATGACCAAAAACTGTAAAAATGTCCTTTAAAACATTTAAAATTACCTAAATTATATTTTATAAACCAAAATCTCTAATATCTGTCTAAATGTCTATCTGACAGTTCATTTTAGAC